ACCTCACACGCCGGACACATTTTCATCTATTTTACATATTTAAATGGAGGCGTGTCAGGGGAGGTGTCTCACGTGCGCTAAGTTCCACACCTTTAAAGGAAAGGTGCGCAGGAACCTGCGTACGCATGGTTTTATACGTCTGAATTTTTTGGTGTGGCGCACTTTTCTAAAATTGTCCGTACATCAACTTTTAATGTGAAAGCTGCGCAATCCTTTATGCATGAGGGCCCTGGTCATATGGACATATAGAGCAATCTCATGGATTTTTTCAAGTCTTACGGATATTTTAAAAACCTCATTTTCAAATTTATCTAACATGTCAGAGCCTATAGGATGATTTAAAAAACAATAAATAACATCAAACAGTCATCTTCCAACCTGTTCTGTTGCTAGAAATAAATAACATTTCCTCTCTCCTTTCCTTCAGCAGGCGCTTTCTTGTCCGCAGCTGACACCCACCCCCCCACTCAGGTTCAGACTGAACAGTTCTGGTTCTGACCTGTATTGGTGTCTCCTCCCAGGTAAGCCAGCTCCTTGATGGCGAACATCAGCTCTTTAGGTTGAGTGTAGTTGGTCAGCAGGAACTCGGTCCTGGGGGAGTCACTGCAACACAGACTGGAGGTTAACACAGGTTGATTTGGACCCGGTTCAGTCTGATKGTGGGACTCACCTGGCCTGGATCAGACCCAAATGAGGTCCCGTTGGTCCGACTCGCAGCATGATGGCCAGTTTGGCTACAAAGTTCTTCTGCAGGTTGAATCTGCGCTGCCCGATGTTGTTGCTGCTGTCGATGACCACAGCGATGTCCGTCTGACAGTCTGCTCAAACAGAGTTATAGGTTATTAAAAACTGCTCCTGCTTCTACAGAAAGGTCCTAAAATAAAGGAAAATATACTGAGTCCCACCAGATACTGTCTTAGCTGTCATTGTGTCCARACTGTTGGAAGGCACTTTTCAACATGGCAGATAATATGCATTTAGTGCAGTGGGTTTAGCTCTGTGTGGTGCTGATGATGGACTGGATCATGTGACTTATTCTGCACCACACAGGTGCCTTTACTCTGCACTGACTCAACATCCATGAATGTCGGTAAAAAAGAGATGCAGCAGACAGTCACACAAGGAATATCAACAAGGGGTACAATATTTYGCCAYAAATTATCAACATTACAAAAACAAGATCAAGGTTATCACATTCTACAGTCATTAAAAATATATTTTATAAAAAAAAAAAAGGTCGGAGATGCAGAACGTAGGTCAGTTATCGTTATGATAGATTTTGACAACGTTATGTCAGGTAAATCCACAAAAAGACAAATTTTCTGTTCCAACAAATTATTATATTTTTTATTGTTGTTATGTTAGGATAACAGTGTGGGACAACAGTAAAATTAACTTTACTACTACTAGGCTAAACTGTGTAGATCTACAC